GTATAGTATGTAGTCTAGTCTATAGTCTAGTCTATAGTCTAGTCTATAGTCTAGTCTATAGTCTAGTCTATAGTCTAGTCTATAGTCTAGTCTATATCCTAGTCTATAGTATAGTATGTAGTCTAGTCTATAGTCTAGTCTATAGTCTAGTCTATAGTCTAGTCTATAGTCTAGTCTATAGTCTAGTCTATAGTCTAGTCTATATTCTAGTCTATAGTATTGTATGTAGTCTTGGCTATAGTCTAGTCTTTAGTCTAGCCTATTCTATGTCTAGTCTGTAATCTAGCTTATAGTCTAGCCTTTAGTCTGGTCTGTAGTCTAGTATAGAGTCCTCTCTATAAACCACATTGACAGCTTTTTACTATTCATATATTATCTCTTCTTATTAGGAAATTTTCCTTAAAAAACAATTTGTTAATATTTATTGTTAAATAAACTTTATCTACGAAAAGTATCCCCTAATAATATTAAAATAACAACTTAACTTAAAGTAGATGAAAAAACTCATCTAATAAACATGCTACCAACATGGAAACAAACTTTGTCTGCTAAAGTTAAAGGCCATATTGTCCAGCAAATGCAAAAAACTCTATCATCAATCAAAAACAAAAAAACAACTTTATTTGACAAAATGGCAACACCAACAAAACTAATAAATGTCCTTTGATGTTCAATGCTGTTGCCAGCACGAAAAGAAAACTTTGTTGCTTTCTACTCTACTCGTCCCTACTAAAACATCATCAATTTTCACTTGAAACTAATGACAGCTATGAAAAATGAATATATTGCTAAAGAGAACAGACAGACAGACAGCATCTACTACTGGGCTCTAGAAAATCTTTATTAAATTTTGAGTATTACTTTTATTTTATCTTAAATATTGTATACAATCTATAGAAATTATATTAAAACATTATTGAGTGAACATGTTCACTTATTTATTGTTTTCTTTTGTTAGATTTTTTTCTTCTTTTCTTATTTTTTCTGCATTTTCTTAAGGACAAAATCCAATTAATATTAAACGCCTACAAAATTTTCTTTTGGGTGTCATAAAAATTTGTAAATGTTGGGCGGCGGTTAGAGAAAAGGTGTGAGTTAGTAAAATAATAAAATTTATCATTGATTAGTTTAGCTAATCAATTATGGAAACTGATGATGATGATTATATAAGACTTCCATACAAAGCGGGCAATCGAATATATAAAAATTATTATGCAGAAAGAAAGTAATAAATATATTTTTATTAAATGCTTAATAAACCACAAATTAAATGGCAGTTTTTAAGAGAGCAATGTTAATGAATATTAAGTATCTCCAGGTCAATAATCTTTACTCAAGCGTATAACTAGACTTTAGTAGCATAGATTATAATCGGCAATTTAGTCAAAACAATAGACTAGACTGTAGACTAGACCATAGAATAGGCTATAGACTAAACACTAGGCCAGAGACTAGACTTTAGACTAGACCGAAGACTAGGCTATAGACTTGACTATAGACTAGACTATAGACTAAACTATAGACTCTACTATAGACTAGACTATAGACTAGACTATAGACTGGACTATAGACTAGACTATAGACAAGACTATATACTAGACTATATACTAGACTATAGACTAGACTATAAACTAGACTATAGACTAGACTATAGACTACGCTATATACTAGACTATAGACTAGACTATAGACTAGACTATAGACTAGACTATAGATTAGACTATAGACTAGACTATAGACTAGACTATAGACTAGACTATAGACTGGACTATAGACTAGACTATAAACTACACTATAGACTAGACTATAGACTAGACTGTAGATTAGACTATAGACTAGACTATAGACTAGACTATAGACTAGACTATAGACTAGACTATAGACTAGACTATAGACTAGACTATAGACTAGACTATAGACTAGACTATAGACTAGACTATAGACTAGACTATAGACTAGACTATAGACTAGACTATAGACTAGACTATAGACTAGACTATAGACTAGACTATAGACTAGACTATAGACTAGACTATAGACTAGACTATAGACTAGACTATAGACTAGACTATAGACTAGACTATAGACTAGACTATAGACTAGACTATAGACTAGACTATAGACTAGACTATAGACTAGACTATAGACTAGACTATAGACTAGACTATAGACTAGACTATAGACTAGACTATAGACTAGACTATATACTGGACTGTAGACTGGACTATAGACTAGACTAGACTATAGACTAGACTATAGACTAGACTATAGACTAGACTATAGACTAGACTATACACTAGACTATAGACTAGACTCTAGACTAGACCATAGACTAGACTATAGACTAGACTATAGACTAGACTATAGACTAGACTATAGACTAGACTTAGACTAGACTCTAGACTAGATTATAGACTAGATTATAGACTAGACTATAGACTAGACTATAGACTAGACTATAGACCAGACTATAGACTAGACTATAGACTAGACTATAGACTATACTATAGACTAGACTATAGACTAGACTATAGACTAGACTATAGACTAGACTATAGACTAGACTATAGACTAGACTATAGACTAGACTATAGACTAGACTATAGACTAGACTATAGACTATAGACTAGACTATAGACTAGACTATAGACTAGACTATAGACTAGACTATAGACTATACTATAGACTAGACTATTGACTAGACTATAGACTAGACTATAGACTAGACTATAGACTAGACTATAGACTAGACTATAGACTAGACTATAGACTAGACTATAGACTAGACTATAGACTAGACTATAGACTAGACTATAGGCTAGACTATAGACTAGACTATAGACTAGACTATAGACTAGACTATAGACTAGACTGTAGACTAGACTATAGACTAGACTATAGACTATACTATAGACTAGACTATAGACTAGACTATAGACTAGACTATAGACTAGACTATAGACTAGACTATAGACTAGACTATAGACTAGACTATAGACTAGACTATAGACTAGACTATAGACTAGACTAGACTAGACTAGACTATAGACTAGACTATAGACTAGACTACAGACTAGACTATAGACTAGACTACAGACTAGACTATAGACTAGACTATAGACTAGACTATAGACTAGACAATAGACTATAGATTAGATTATAGACTAGACTATATTCTGGACACTATAGTCCACACTGCAGACTAAACTATAATATGGAATATACTCTATTTAATCCTGCTTTTAGAATCCTTGATTCTTTATGCCCCCTTTAAGTATGCTTTCATTTTCTAACTTCTAACTTTTTAATTTTATTTAATTTAGACTTGACTATAGACTAGACTATAGACTAGACTATAGACTCTACTATAGACTAGACTATAGACTAGACTATAGACTAGACTATAGACTAGACTATAGACTAGACTATAGACTAGACTATAGACTAGACTATAGACTAGACTATAGACTAGACTATAGACTAGACTATAGACTAGACTATAGACTAGACTATAGACTAGACTATAGACTAGACTATAGACTAGACTATAGACTAGACTATAGACTAGACTATAGACTAGACTATAGACTAGACTATAGACTAGACTATAGACTAGACTATAGACTAGACTATAGACTAGACTATAGACTAGACTATATACTGGACTGTAGACTGGACTATAGACTAGACTAGACTATAGACTAGACTATAGACTAGACTATAGACTAGACTATAGACTAGACTATAGACTAGACTATAGACTAGACTATAGACTAGACTATACACTAGACTATAGACTAGACTCTAGACTAGACCATAGACTAGACTATAGACTAGACTATAGACTAGACTATAGACTAGACTATAGACTAGACTATAGACTAGACTTAGACTAGACTCTAGACTAGATTATAGACTAGATTATAGACTAGACTATAGACTAGACTATAGACTAGACTATAGACCAGACTATAGACTAGACTATAGACTAGACTATAGACTATACTATAGACTAGACTATAGACTAGACTATAGACTAGACTATAGACTAGACTACAGACTAGACTATAGACTAGACTATAGACTAGACTATAGACTAGACTATAGACTAGACTATAGACTATAGACTAGACTATAGACTAGACTATAGACTAGACTATAGACTATACTATAGACTAGACTATTGACTAGACTATAGACTAGACTATAGACTAGACTATAGACTAGACTATAGACTAGACTATAGACTAGACTATAGACTAGACTATAGACTAGACTATAGACTAGACTATAGACTAGACTATAGACTAGACTATAGGCTAGACTATAGACTAGACTATAGACTAGACTATAGACTAGACTATAGACTAGACTGTAGACTAGACTATAGACTAGACTATAGACTAGACTATAGACTAGACTATAGACTAGACTATAGACTAGACTATAGACTAGACTATAGACTAGACTATAGACTAGACTATAGACTAGACTATAGACTAGACTAGACTATAGACTAGACTATAGACTAGACTACAGACTAGACTATAGACTAGACTACAGACTAGACTATAGACTAGACTATAGACTAGACTATAGACTAGACAATAGACTATAGATTAGATTATAGACTAGACTATATTCTGGACACTATAGTCCACACTGCAGACTAAACTATAATATGGAATATACTCTATTTAATCCTGCTTTTAGAATCCTTGATTCTTTATGCCCCCTTTAAGTATGCTTTCATTTTCTAACTTCCGCTTTCCTTATGTTCTCGCGATGATTTTTCACCCTAATTAAGCATTTTTTTGTGACTTTATTATATTTAAAAATTTATATATTTTTAATTTTATTTAAATTTCTTTCGCTTTTACTAAAAGTTGTTTCTTTTATTTAGCAAATGAAGTGTGTATGTGTGTGCATTAGAATGAGTGCGTTTCAAAGAAAAAGTATTCCTTGGGGCGCCATATAATTTTGTTTAAGTATTTACTTACATGGTGCTTTAGTTTCCATTTTTTTCCATTATAATTTTTATTTTGTTGTTGTTTTTTTTTGCATTATATTTTGTTGTAGTTTTCTCCTGCTTTCATATGCTGTCTTTTTATGTAAAGAAGGAATAAAGAAAGAAATGTATAAAAAAGATGAACAAATGAAATTAAAAATGCGCACATGTAAAACATTAAAAAAATATGTGTATAAGTATGTAAATTTTAATATCAAATGAACACATACATACAAATATACTTGCGCTTATATGTGTGGTTGAAGGTGTCATTTTAAACGCATTTTATAAGTAAGAGTTAAAGGACAGAGCAGTAAAGTAATAATGTCTACAAATAAATGACAACTTTTCAAATTATAATTACTGTTTTAAAACAGGTCCTTCGGATTAAATAGTTCTGATATTTCAGAATTGTTCTACATTCCTTTAATCCTCCGTTCTGCAATATTTTTACATTTTAAGTGAATTTGTTTGTTACAACTTGTTTTTTTTTTATTTTATAACTTGTGTATCTGAAACATTAATAGTGTGTGTTGTATGTATGTGGAAATGTAATAATAATAACAACAACAAACATACAACTCGTTTAATAGCAATAATAATAACAAAAACAATAATGTATGGGGGCGTAATATTAACATTTGCATAATTAAGTGTCAACATCCTTTATGATAATTTTATGCATATGTATGACGTTTTCCACTAAAACACACATACACACACACCCTCCGATAAACTGCCATAAACACAACCTTTGACTTTTTTCGAAAACAGCTAAAGGAAAAATTAACCATTTAAATATTTAAATAATGATTTAATTAAAAATGTTTGGTAATAATAAATGAGACTAAAAATAGAATTCACTTTTTATCATCAGCAAGGAGGCGGAAATTTATAAATAAACAACAATCATTTCAAATTATTTAACCAAACCTCTATAAAAATACCAATTATTTCACAAAAATACTTTAATTAGTCCAGTAATATCATTATAAACATTTTAAATCCACCCTTTTTTCTAAAGTCAAATCATAAATATTAAAATGATTATCGTAAAACAAGCGCAATTTATTACTACAATATACTTGACTATAGATTAAGCTACAGCTAGAGACTAGACTATAGACTAGACTATAGACTAGACTATAGAGTAGACTATAGAGTAGACTATAGACTAGACTATAGACTAGACTATAGACTAGACAATAGACTAGACTATAGACTAGACTATAGACTAGACTATAGACTAGACTATAGACTAGACTAGACTATAGACTAGACTATAGACTAGACTATAGACTAGACTATAGACTAGACTATAGACTAGACTATAGACTAGACTATAGACTAGACTATAGACTAGACATAGACTAGACTATAGACTAACTATAGACGAGACTATATGACTAGACACAGACTAGACTATAGACTAGACTATAGACTAGACTATAGACTTATACTATAGACTAGACTATAGACTACACTATAGACTAGACTATAGACTAGACTATAGACTACACTATAGACTAGACTATAGACTAGACTATAGACATAGACTATAGACTACTATAGAACTAGACTAATAGACTAGACTATAGACTAGACTATAACTAGACTATAGACCTATAGACTAGACTATAGACTAGAGACTATAGACTAGACTATAGAACTAGACTATAGACTAGACTATAGACTAGACTATAGACTAGACATATAGACTAGACTATAGACTAGACATAGACTAGACTATAGACTAGACTATAGACTAGACTATAGACTAGACTATAGACTAGACATAGACTAGACTATAGACTAGACTATAGACTAGACTATAGACTAGACTATAGACTAGACTATAGACTAGACTATAGACTAGACTATAGACTAGACTATAGACTAGACTATAGACTAGACTATAGACTAGACTATAGACTAGACTATAGACTAGACTATAGACTAGACTATAGACTAGACTATAGACTAGACTATAGACTAGACTATAGACTAGACTATAGACTAGACTATAGACTAGACTATAGACTAGACTATAGACTAGACTATAGACTAGACTATAGACTAGACTATAGACTAGACTATAGACTAGATTATAGACTAGACTATAGACTAGACTATAGACTAGACTGTAGACTAGACTATAGACTAGACTATAGACTAGACTATAGACTAGACTACAGACTAGAATATAGACTACAGACTAGACTATAGACTAGACTATAGACTAGACTATAGACTAGACTATAGACTAGACTATAGACTAGACTATAGACTAGACTATAGACTAGACTATAGACTAGACTATAGACTAGACTATAATAGACTAGACTATAGACTAGACTATAGACTAGACTATAGACTAGACTATAGACTAGACTATAGACTAGACTATAGACTAGACTATAGACTAGACTATAGACTAGACTATAGACTAGACTATAGACTAGACTATAGACTAGACTATAGACTAGACTATAGACTAGACTATAGACTAGACTATAGACTAGACTATAGACTAGACTATAGACTAGACTATAGACTAGACTATAGACTAGACTATAGACTAGACTATAGACTAGACTATAGACTAGAATATAGACTAGACTATACTAGACTATAGACTATAGACTAGACTAGACTAGACTATAGACTAGACTATAGACTAGACTATAGACTAGACTATAGACTAGACTATAGACTAGACTATAGACTAGACTATAGACTAGACTATAGACTAGACTATAGACTAGACTGTAGACTAGACTATAGACTAGACTATAGACTAGACTATAGACTAGACTATAGACTAGACTATAGACTAGACTATAGACTAGACTATAGACTAGACTATATAGACTAGACTATAGACTAGACTATAGACTAGACTATAGACTAGACTATAGACTAGACTATAGACTAGACTAGACTAGACTATAGACTAGACTATAGACTAGACTATAGACTAGACTAGACTATAGACTAGACTAGACTATAGACTTGACTATAGACTAGACTAGACTATAGACTAGACTATAGACTAGACTATAGACTAGACTATAGACTAGACTATAGACTAGACTATAGACTAGACTATAGACTAGACTATAGACTAGACTATAGACTAGACTATAGACTAGACTATAGACTAGACTATAGACTAGACTATAGACTAGACTATAGACTAGACTATAGACTAGACTATAGACTAGACTAGACTATAGACTAGACTATAGACTAGACTATAGACTAGACTATAGACTAGACTATAGACTAGACTATAGACTAGACTAGACTATAGACTAGACTATAGACTAGACTATAGACTAGACTATAGACTAGACTATAGACTAGACTATAGACTAGACTATAGACTAGACTATAGACTAGACTATAGACTAGACTATAGACTAGACTATAGACTAGACTATAGACTAGACTATAGACTAGACTATAGACTAGACTATAGACTAGACTATAGACTAGACTATAGACTAGACTATAGACTAGACTATAGACTAGACTATTGACTAGACTATAGACAAGACTATAGTCTATAGTCTATAGACTAGACTGTAGACTAGACTATAGACTAGACTATAGACTAGACTGCAGATTAGACTATAGACTATAGACTACACTACAGTTTAGACTATAGACTAGACTATAAGCTAGACTATAGACGAAACATATTCCATCAGAATGAAACTTTAGTTATTTATTGGAATTCCAAAAAATTAGATTGAGTCTTATCATGTTTTCATGTTAATCATTGCTTTTTTCTTATTTACTTTCAGCTGACAGTTCATTCCTTCTGGCCAATGCCCAAATTGTCGACTTTCCCATTGTGTATTGCAATGAATCCTTTTGCAAGATTAGTGGCTATAATCGGGCCGAGGTTATGCAAAAATCTTGCAGGTAAGTTAAACTTAAAACCTTAATTTATAATAAAAAAATAAAAAACCAGCTTTTATTTTACAACTTTTTTTGCTAAACAAAACTTAACACTAATAAAAACATAAATAATTAACCTTTTAAGGGCTGAGGAGAAAAGGGCTTATTATAAATCATGAGCACTAGTAGTGGCTGCATTAGTATTATAATAATTTTACAAAACATTTTAGCGTCAACAACAAAAATTTGTTGCTTTATTCGCCCTGAGGTTAAATTATGCTTGTTGTGCATTTGCTGTAAAATATTTCATTTTTCCTGCTAAAAAGACTCATAATGAAACTCTGCTTATTTACAACATGTAGGAATTTTTCCTGTAGTTTTTCATGGGTGGAAAATAAGCTCGACTAGAGAAATACAAACTAACCGTAACGCTCCAAAAAAACAGAAGTGCACATTAGAGACAAATGTACAAAATTACACCAGAGACTTAAGGAACGGGCTTAAAACAATAACGAATAATTTAGTTCAGTTGGACTACAGTTCTAATTAAGTTCTAGTTCTGTTCTAGTTCTGTTCTAGTTCTGTTCTAGTTCTGTTCTAGTTCTGTTCTAGTTCTGTTCTAGTTCTGTTCTAGTTCTGTTCTAGTTCTGTTCTAGTTCTGTTCTAGTTCTGTTCTAGTTCTGTTCTAGTTCTGTTCTAGTTCTGTTCTGTTCTAGTTCTGTTCTAGTGTTCTAGTTCTGTTCTAGTTCTGTTCTAGTTCTGTTCTAGTTCTGTTCTAGTTCTGTTCTAGTTCTGTTCTAGTCTGTTCTAGTTCTGTTCTAGTTCTGTTCTAGTTCTGTTCTAGTTCTGTTCTAGTTCTGTTCTAGTTCTGTTCTAGTTCTGTTCTAGTTCTAGTTCTGTTCTAGTTCTGTTCTAGTTCTGTTCTAGTTCTATTCTAGTTCTGTTCTGTTCTAGTTCTGTTCTAGTTCTGTTCTAGTTCTGTTCTAGTTCTGTTCTAGTTCTGTTCTAGTTCTGTTCTAGTTCTGTTCTAGTTCTGTTCTAGTTCTGTTCTAGTTCTGTTCTAGTTCTGTTCTAGTTCTGTTCTAGTTCTGTTCTAGTTCTGTTCTAGTTCTTCTGGTTCTGTTCTAGTTCTGTTCTAGTTCTGTTCTAGTTCTCTAGTTCTGTTCTAGTTCTGTTCTAGTTCTGTTCTAGTTCTGTTCAGTTCTGTTCTAGTTCTGTTCTAGTTCTGTTCTAGTTCTGTTCTAGTTCTGTTCTAGTTCTGTTCTAGTTCTGTTCTAGTTCTGTTCTAGTTCTGTTCTAGTTCTGTTCTAGTTCTGTTCTAGTTCTGTTCTAGTGTTCTAGTTCTGTTCTAGTTCTGTTCTAGTTCTGTTCTAGTTCTGTTCTAGTTCTGTTCTAGTTCTGTTCTAGTTCTGTTCTAGTTCTGTTCTAGTTCTGTTCTAGTTCTGTCTAGTTCTGTTCTAGTTCTGTTCTAGTTCTGTTCTAGTTCTGTTCTAGTTCTGTTCTAGTTCTGTTCTAGTTCTGTTCTAGTTCTGTTCTGTTCTGTTCAAGTTCTGTTCTAGTTCTGTTCTAGTTCTGTTCTAGTTCTGTTCTAGTTCTGTTCTAGTTCTGTTCTAGTTCTGTTCTAGTTGTGTTCTAGTGTTCTAGTTGTGTTCTAGTTGTGTTCTAGTTGTGTTCTAGATGTGTTCTAGTTGTGTTCTAGTTGTGTTCTAGTTGTGTCTAGTTGTGTTCTAGTTGTTTCTAGATGTGTTCTAGTTGTTCTAGTTGTGTTCTAGTTGGTCTAGTTGTGTTCTAGTTGTGTCTTGTTCTGTTCTAGTTTGTTCTAGTTCTGTTCTGTTCTGTTCAAGTTCTGTTCTAGTTCTGTTCTAGTTCTGTTCTAGTTCTGTTCTAGTTCTGTTCTAGTTCTGTTCTAGTTCTGTTCTAGTTCTGTTCTAGTTCTGTTCTAGTTCTGTTCTAGTTCTGTTCTAGTTCTGTTCTAGTTCTGTTCTAGTTTCGTTCTAGTTGTGTTCTAGTTGTGTTCTAGTTGTGTTCTAGTTGTGTTCTAGTTGTTTTCTAGTTCTGTTCTAGTTGTGTTCTAGTTCTGTTCTAGTTCTGTTCTAGTTCTGTTCTAGTTTGTTCTAGTTCTGTTCTAGTTCTATTCTAGTTCTGTTCTAGTTCTGTTCTAGTTCTGTTCTAGTTCTGTTCTAGTTCTGTTCTAGTTCTGTTTTAGTTCTGTTCTAGTTCTGTTTTAGTTCTGTTCTAGTTCTGTTCTAGTTCTGTTCTAGTTCTGTTCTAGTTCTGTTCTAGTTCGGTTCTAGTTCTGTTCTAGTTCTGTTCTAGTTCTGTTCTAGTTCTGTTTAGTTCTGTTCTAGTTCTGTTTTAGTTCTGTTCTAGTTCTGTTCTAGTTCTGTTTTTTCAGTCCTTGTTTATTTTGATGCTGGTTGTTTCTAGTTGCATTATAAAAATACACAAAGTTCAACAAACCGGGTGATGAAACCAGTAACATCCTCAGGCTTTTATGTATTTTCTACTATGGTTTCTATTTTTTTCAAATTTTTTATATGCTTGCAACCAATTTTTTCTCTTTATCTTTGGGTTTCAAAATAATGGAAATAATAGAAATAAATGTAAGAGAAAAAAATTAAAAAAACACAGGAAAATACTTTGGCCTAACAAATATGGGTTGAAAAAAAAAATGGAAAAAAGGTTAGAGTAGGCAAAAATAAAATTTAAAATCCGGCTAAAAGACAATTTGTAATAAAATTTCTAAACAAGGATCTCTATACTGAGCTTCTTTAAGGATTTTGAATTTTACTATTTCTCCGCCATTGGCATTTGTATTAAAGAGGTAAGAAATTAGTTAGATCATGTTCATGTGTTGTAACGTGAAATTTTTCAAACTATAATAAGCCCCAGTGCCCTGTATTTACTGCTATACCCAAAAGACTATACTAAACACATAATTTTCTTCTTTTTTTTTTAACTAAATAATGGAAAAAAACTCTGCATATAAAACTAAATCAACTGACCTAGTTTGTATTTAGAAAAAAAAATCAACTAAAATTACTTGTTCCATAAAATAACGAATAAATATAAAAAGACATGTGTATAGAATAAATAATTATGGTAGAAAATGTTAAAAATAATGAACTAAAATATTTAAAATCCGACTAACAAATTAAAGTTATTGAGCAGAAAATTATTGGCAAAAATGTTAATAAACATTTTTACTGATTTCCAATAATTTGTTGGGAATTTTAAGTAAATATTACAAATTAATTCCATTAACCATTTGGCCACTCATTTGTTTAGGAAATTATTGTTTTAAAACCATATTCACTCAAGCGTTAAATTAGGCCTAGATGTGGCAATTATGTGACGTCTAGTTCATGATTTTAAAGGTTTCCTAAACATATTAGCAGTAAGGTTTAAAACAAATTTTTAACAAATTATTAATTGGTTTAAACACGTTTGCTAAAAGCAAACTTGTAAACAATATGGGAAAACAAAAACATGAGGAAATTGCAAACAGTTGTAAACAAAATTAAATAAATAAATAAAATATTGTTTAATTTAATAAATAAATGAAATTTTTTACTAAATCAGTTCTAGTTCAGTTATAATTCAGTTCTGGTTCGTTTCTAGTTCAGTTCTAGTTCTAGTTCAGTTCTAGTTCAGTAGTTCTAGGTTCAGTTCTAGTTCAGTTCTAGTTCAGTTCTAGTTCAGTTCTAGTTCAGTTCTAGTTCAGTTCTAGTGCAGTTCTAGTTCAGTTCTAGTTCAGTTCTAGTTCAGTTCTAGTTCAGTTCTAGTTCAGTTCTAGTTCAGTTCTAGTTCAGTCTAGTTCAGTTCTAGTTCAGTTCTAGTTCAGTTCTAGTTCAGTTCTAGTTCAGTTCTAGTTCAGTTCTAGTTCAGCTTCTAGTTCAGTTCTAGTTCAGTTCTAGTTCAGTTCTAGTTCAGTTCTAGTTCAGTTCTAGTTCAGTTCTAGTTCAGTTCTAGTTCAGTTCTAGTTCAGTTCTAGTTCAGTTCTAGTTCAGTTCTAGTTCAGTTCTAGTTCAGTTTTAGTTCAGTTCTAGTTCAGTTCTAGTTCAGTTCTAGTTCAGTTCTAGTTCAGTTCTAGTTCAGTTCTAGTTCAGTTCTAGTTCAGTTCTAGTTCAGTTCTAGTTCAGTTCTAGTTCAGTTCTAGTTCAGTTCTAGTTCAGTTCTAGTTCAGTTCTAGTTCAGTTCTAGTTCAGTTCTAGTTCAGTTCTAGTTCAGTTCTAGTTCGGTTCTAGTTCAGTTCTAGTTCAGTTCTAGTTCAGTTCTAGTTCAGTTCTAGTTCAGTTCTAGTTCAGTTCTAGTTCAGTTCTAGTTCAGTTCTAGTTCAGTTCTAGTTCAGTTCTAGTTCAGTTCTAGTTCAGTTCTAGTTCAGTTCTAGTTCAGTTCTAGTTCAGTTCTAGTTCTAGTTCAGTTCTAGTTCAGTTCTAGTTCTGTTCTAGTTCTGTTTTAGTTCTGTTCTAGATCTATTCTAGTTCTGTTCTAGTTCAGTCTAGTTTCAGGTCTAGTTCTGTTCTAGTTCTGTTCTAGTTCTGTTCTAGTTCTGTTCTAGTTCTGTTCTAGTTCTGTTCTAGTTCTGTTCTAGTTCTGTTCTAGTTCAGTTCTAGTTCAGTTCTAGTTCAGTTCTAGTTCAGTTCTAGTTCAGTTCTAGTTCAGTTCTAGTTCAGTTTCTAGTTCAGTTCTAGTTCAGTTCTAGTTCAGTTCTAGTTCAGTTTCTAGTTCAGTTCTAATTCAGTTTTAGTTCAGTTCAGTTTCTAGTTCAGTTCTAGTTCAGTTCTAGTTCAGTTCTAGTTCAGTTCTAGTTCAGTTCTAGTTCAGTTCTAGTTCAGTTCTAGTTCAGTTCTAGTTCAGTTCTAGTTCAGTTCTAGTTCAGTTCTAGTTCAGTTCTAGTTCAGTTCTAGTTCAGTTTCTAGTTCTGTTCTAGTTCTGTTCTTGGTTCTTGTTCACAATGGACCTTATGGTCTCCGAGTGGATACACACCGTTTTTACGGTGTATACCCTTCTTAACCTAACCT